TCAGAGTTCAAACACTTCTTCAGGTATCAACTGCTGGGTGACAGCTGAGCAGTGCCTCTGAGCACGGGTGCAGTCCCACATAAACACCATCTGCTCGTCCTGATTCTTCAGCTGGAGCAGATATCAAATACATCCCATGTCTTTGTGATACGCGTCCTGTTCACTCATAACTGCCTCCAGCATTGCTCCTACTGCACTAAAAGCAAGCAAGTTCATAGCAAAGCACCAGCGAAAACAAGGCAGCCCATACAGCACTGTCCAGAAATCCTTCTGTCCATCCTCCTTTTCCCCAGAGTCACCTCCTTATCTGCCTGTGTGACAGCACAGGCTACGATCAGACTACAAAACTTGCTAAGAGTTAAGCAGTGTGTTGCCTCCTGGCCTGGTTTTACTCTGTGACACAGACAGTAAATTTTTTGCAATTACTTTCCAGGTCAGTTAATCTGAGAAAGGATTTACACAGGTTAGGAAAAGAACACTGCTCTGAGAGAGAGGTTTTCCTGTTATAGCTGTGAAGATGTGAAGCTGAAGACATCAACCAGATCCAATCACAAATTAAAAAATGGATGTGAAGCTGATGGAACAGCTTGGGTTGGCAGGGACCATAATGACCATCTACCACCAACCCCACCTGTTCTTGTGGATTGTTGGGGTTTTTTTGGAGCCGTGAAACAGAAGCACTGCTGCAAGTGCTGTTTTTGAACACAAAGTTTCATTTTGAATCAAGCATACCTCAGAACATCCTGAATATCACTCCACACAGGCAAAATTAATGCTGACAGCAGTGCTGCTCGCATGCTTTTGCAGGTATCGTTCTCATCATCTTTTAGCTTTCATATCTTTATATTTTCTTGCTTGGAAAGCAAGATTACTGGTGTGTTTCTCAGAGCCTGTGCACTTCTCAAATGTTAGAGTCTCATTCACATGGGAAGAAGAAAATAACTTAAAATCTAACCATCACTTAAAGGCAAAAATGTAGTTTGTCCTTCTCAAGGGAGTCAGGCTGTCCCTCTTCTGCAAGATATCTCCCTTCTCAAGTCCAACACTTTGAATTTCCCATGGAAACCTGCAGTTCTGTCCCTTTCCCAGCAGGCCATTTAGTCAGTCTAGAAATTCTCACAGGGAAGATTTCTCCTCCCATACTGAAACTCTCTTTCTCTTTTTATTCCTGACACATTACACCTACACATAACTACTTGTACAGCACACAGTAATTGCATTCTCATTATTCACAGGTAGTCACAAGATGCATATCTCTTTTCTGCCCAGACCCTTCTGCACATCTCTCCAGCTGAGCCGTGTCCAGCCTTGAGCCAAATACAGGGACTGAGGAAATTAACCTCTGATCCCTGCCCTGACCTAAAGGCATTCAGAACGTAACAAGGTTGCATCTGTCTCTTTCAGGCATGGTAGGATAGAAATATTTTATGTTCAGACCAGTATCCTGGTGTAATATTACCTCTAAGTCACACCCAGAAGACACTGAGCAATGGCAGACAACCTTGGCCAGTGCAATGAATCAAGTGGAAACTGATGCTGGAAGTGCCCATTTTAGGCCCTTGTTCACTTCCAATTCCAAACGATGGCCCTCCATACATAGCTGCTCTCAGTGACCCCCACTCCACTCTTTACTGAGCTACTGAGTGCAGCAGAAAACATCATCTCCCAATGCAGGACAGCTGACTCACAGAATACTAAGCCATTTCTGAGGCACTGGAAATGCTCCCGCAGCAAATGCATCATGCAGATAGGTGCCAGAGCAGATACTGAAAATAGAAAGGAGACAAAGAGCACAGGACGTAAACAGATAAACTACTTTAGCAAGGAAATGAACAGTAGAAATGGCCAGGTCAGCTCTCTTCATGAGCATTTTATTTTTCTTTCTCATAGTGAACACACCTTTAGAACAACACCAAAGAAAAACAAGGGGAAGAGTTTAACAGGTTGAGAAAGGAAGTTCTCTCAAACCACAGCACGTTCACACCTTCACACAGGAAACAAACTGTGTTCAGAAAATGATAAAGTTGGTTGCAAGAATAAAGAAACACATTTGCCACCTGCAAGGAAAATTGCTCTGCTCAGTTTCCCTTCTAAGCTGACTTTGCAGTGTAAATAAGAAATAGATTACTACTTACCAACGAAACAGTGACAAAAATTCAGCCTCAATGCGTGCCCTCCTAACTGCACTCCTGCACACAATGGAAATCCTCTCATCAGGAGTTATGTTTAATAAAACACGTATTCATCTTAAATAGTAACTTAAAGGCACGTCCCTACATCTGAGTATGTCTGACATCACTTTTTTGCTTCTTTGCCAAACTGTTATCTTCCCTGACCTGGAAGGGTATGCAATGGGTCCTGGCTGCACAGCTGTAGTCAGAGGCCTCAGCTGTGAGTGCTGAGGAGACCCTTCATCCCCTCGGGCCAATGGGGAATTGCATCACGTCAACATCTAGAAAGTCTAGGCTGAGGCCTCTGCCCTTTCTTCCCTGGAATTCGCAATTAGTAACTCTTTTCAGTCACAGGAAAACACACATAGGACTCAGACTTGACCCACAAAGGAGAAATTCCAGTAGCAACATCCTCAGCCAGCCAGCCCAGCACCTTAGCTCTGGAGGCTCCTGCTGCTCTAAGCTCTTATCTATTACCACAAGCAAGAGGCTGATGTGTCCAGACACACTGAGAGCCATGCTGCACACAGCAGTGGCAGTGTGGGAGCAACCTGCCTGCAGCAGCTCAACTCCATTCCAGCTCATCCACTCTGTTACAAGGGACAGAAAATTTCTCTTGTGAGGTTGTAATCCAATCAACTTCCAAATAAACCTGCCCCAACAGGCTCTCAAGCAAAGCACTTCATTGCTCATATCTGATCTTACATCAGCACATAGCACTAAATGAAGAATTACTTATGGTGTTTCTCTGATAAGCTTTCCTGAACAGACTTCCACTTTACTGACCCCCACGAACTACCAAACCACTCACAGAGTTCAACATGCAAACCTGCCAGCTGGCCACAATGAGGGAAGGAGAACCAAACCAAGGCTCGTCAATCTTCCTGGCATGTAAGACATAAGCAGCTGCTATCACTCCTGGTTAAAATAGCATCTTAAATTGTATCCTGCCCTCCCCTGCAAGGATACAATTAAAAAGCTATCTCAGGTGCATCAGTTCTTGCCAGTCACCTTCCTATTCCTTGGCTATATTCCAGCAAAAATAGCTGAAATCTGTCAGGTGAAGCTGACCTGCAGGGAGCTAATCGCCTCACCTGGAACAGTCTGGAGACAGGCCAGGGCTGAGAGCTAAGATGGCTGGAGCAGAGAGAAGGGAAGATCAGCACCCATCCGTGGGTAGAGGACAAACGTCTATGTGTGCTTTCCTGGGTCCCAACAGCATTCAGTTGCCTCTCCCCAGGAGAACGAGGCAAAGACACAACAGCAGATCTCACCAAGTCTGCTGCTGCGGGAGCCTGGCTGGGGTATGACGTTAATGACTCCAAATGAGTCATTTGCAAATCTTCTCATTCAGGGAGATGGCATAACAGTGCTGCTGCAGAGTGCATTACAGTCAGGGCGAGGCGACACACCACAGCCACACCATCAACAAGGCTTTTGTACAGAGGATTTTATTCAAAACTCAGATTGCAAATAAATTTAGAAGCAGACACAGCAAGACTTCCATGGAAGGAGTACAAAAAACCATCTGTGGTTTGGATGTTCACTAATCCCTTAAGTGCCATCCAATTACTGCAAATGCCTTTGGCATCCACTAAGGCAATCGTGAAGAATTAAATGATCGAATGGCACTCATTGGAAATCACAAGTCACAGAACTCTATAATGCATTTAAGAAAAAAAAATCTAAAAAGGAAAACATCAGAACCCACTGCAAAAGTTGACCTCTTTGGGAGCCATGAGGGACAACAAAAGGGATTAAGTAATGAGGGATGCTTAATTCAGAGAAGAAACTAGAAGAAAAAAAGAGAGAGATTGGGAGTGTAAGAACGCTGGATGAAGAAGAGGTAACTTTAACTTGCAGCTCCTCATTCTTAGCACAAACTCCAACAATTAATTTTGTAGAATCATAGAATGGGTTGAAAAGGACCCCAACAATCATCTGGTTCCAACCCCTGCTGTGTGCAGGGTCACCAACCAGCAGCCCAGGCTGCCCACAGCCACATCCAGCCTGACTTTGAATGCCCCCAGGGATGGGGCATCCACAGCCTGCTTGGGCAACCTGTTCCAGTGCGTCAGCATCTTCTGAGTGAAAACCTTCCTCCTAATATCATAATTAATGACCTCTCCTAAGGGAAAGTAACCAAAACACTCCCAGCAGCTTTTCTGTGCCGTGACTTAGCCGGTGTGGTCAGGCTGCAGAGATCTCCAGGTGCTTCAGAACAGCCAGGGCTCCAGTAGCAGATGGGGAAGGGGGGCTGGGAAGGCTGCAGGGCTGCTGTGGGGGTAGGCAGCGAAGGGTAGCAGCTGCATGGCTGTAACGGTGCCTAGGAAAGGTACAGCAAGGCACTATGGCTTCAGCCATCAGTGCGGCATTCCTACACAGGCTGGGATCTTTTGCAAGACTTTATTCTCAAAAATAGGTGCAATTAAGAACTGCAAAGCACACACGCACATATATATATATATATATATATATATATATATATATGTCGCAGCCTACATACTCATCAGTGTATGTGTGTATTCTAGTATCTGTGTAGTATGTAGCCTACATACTACATCAGTGTATGTGTGTATTCGCAAAACGGTCTTTCTTTTCTCATTTGCAACAGCACACAGGGCAGCCTCTGCCGACCCATTTCTACTTCTGTTTCCACTTCCTCCAGCTCTCCGCTCCCGCAGCTCAGCCCGGATCCGCAGGGCGAGGCTCCCTGGCGGCACTCCCCGTCCGCTCCACCCCCCGGTCCCTCCGCAATCTCGCGAGATTTTGTTTGAAACGGAGGCGGGAGGCCGAAGCTCGGCTCAGGCCCGGCCCGGCCCGGCCGCGATGCCGCGGATGCTGCGCACGTACTCGCGGCGCGGCGGCTACCTCCGCGTTCTGCCGCAGCCCGACCGCTGGATTTCGCCCCCTCAGGACCGCAGACGGCTCTTCAGCTCCTCCTCAGCCGCCTCCAGCGCTCTCTCCAGCGCCCTCTCCAGCGCCCCCTCCGCCACCTCGGACGACCCCGACTTCTCGCCGCCGAGGAAGCGCCGCCAGAAGCCGTTGGGTGAGCGCCACGCCCGCTCGCGGTACCTGCGGAGCCGGCGCGGGGCGGAGAAGGAGAACCTGCCCCCGGCCGCCCTCAGCTCCCCGTCGCCCTCCCCGCCGCCGCCCCGCCGCCGCCGCCGCCGCCGCCAGGGGTCGCCCGCCGCCGCCCGCCGCCCGCTGCTCTGCAGCACCCCGCACTGGGCGCCCCCCTGCGGCTCCGCTCGCCTTTCCCGCCGCGCCGCCGCGCCGCTCCCGGAGCTCAGCACCAGCGTGGAGGGCGGCTCGGTGCTGCACTGCAGCCCGGAGCTCTTCTCGTCTCACGACGCCTCTGTCGGCGGCGCCCTCGACTCGCCGGGGGCATCGCGGGCCGGCTCGGAGCGGCCGTCGCCGCGCACGCGGAGCGGGAGGGACGACGGGGCAACGGGAGCGCCCCGAGCGGCAGCACCGAGCGAGAGCTCGGCGCCGGGGCTGCTCTCGCAAACGGCCCGCAGGGCTCTGAGGGCGTCCGTGCGGGAGCCTCTGCGCGGAGCCGCGGCAGCCGCTCCCGTCGACGGTGAACCGCAGCGCGGCGCCGCCGGCTCGGCAGGGCTCCGCGGCGATGTGAAGGGCGATGAGACGACGGGGAGCCCGGGCGGACGCGCGGACGCGGCCGAGCGGCGGCTGATGCCGGTAGTGGTTTTGGAGCGAGGGGACGAGCTGCTGTGGCTGAGCGGCCGGAAGGCGGCGTCCCCGCTGGGCGGCCGAGGAGCCGCGAAGCACCGACGTAAAAGCGGCGAACTGATCCCCGGGGAGGGCGGCACCTGCAGGAAAGCCTGCATCAGCGGCTTCAGCGCCAGCCGCTGGGGGAGACAACCGCGGCTCCGTCCGCGTGGGTACAAAAATAAGTGGCAGCAGCAGGCGGGAGCCTCCTTCGGGAGAGCGCAGTTGAGACGAAGAGGAAAGAAGAAGGGTGTGCAGATGTCGGGAGGGACGCGGGACGCTGAGTGCTCGTTCCTCGATAACTCCCACCGCTGGGGTAGATTTCGAGCATCTCTGTCGTTCCATAAGAAAAAGAAGGTGATCACAGATGACAGTTCCTACGCCAGCATCCTTTGTAATCCCTTTGTGAATCCCCAGCTTTCCGGGCACCAAGCAACCCTGTCTTCTAGTAAGGCTGAGAGCTACGCCTTGTCTGCTTCCTCCGTGATCCTGCTGGCTCCCATGAGTTCTTCAGCCTTAGAGATCACGCTTACGGATGCAGAAAAGGTGTTTAGGGAGTGCCAGCAGGAGGAACCTATTGCTTTTGAGGATTGCATTCCCTTAGATAAGATGAAAAACTGCAAGAAAATTGGAGAAGGGGTGTTTGGAGAGGTTTTCCAGATCGACAGTGAGAGAGGACCTGTGGCCTTAAAAATAATTCCCATTGAAGGAACTGAAAGGGTGAACGGTGAAGCTCAAAAGAGCTTTGGAGAGATCCTGCCTGAAATAATAATTTCAAAGGAACTCAGTCTTCTGTCTGAAGAGTCCATGAATAGGACCGTAGGGTTCATCAGCTTGTACTCTGTGCACTGTGTTCAAGGGGCTTACCCTAAATACCTCCTAAAAGCCTGGGACGCATACAACAAGGCAACAGGATCCGAAAATGATCGGCCAGACCTGTTTGGAGAAGAGCAACTCTTCATTGTTCTGGAGTTTGAATTTGGAGGCAGTGATTTGGAGAACATGAGAAAGAAACTGAGTTCTGTGGCTTCAGCAAAAAGCATTCTGCACCAGGTGACTGCTTCACTGGCTGTGGCAGAACAGGAACTGCACTTTGAGCACAGAGACTTGCACTGGGGGAACGTGCTGGTCAAGAAAACAGATGCAAAGGAGCTTAGCTATGTGTTGAATGGGACTACGTGCACAATCCCCACAGCAGGGATCCATGTCAACATCATAGATTACACCTTGTCTAGGCTGGAGAAAGATGGGTTAACTGTCTTCTGCGACCTTTCCACTGATGAAGAGCTGTTTCAAGGCACAGGGGACTACCAGTTTGATATCTACAGGCAAATGAAAGCGGAGAACTCCAACGGCTGGACTGACTATCATCCACACAGCAATGTCCTCTGGCTCCACTACTTGACAGATAAACTTTTGAAGGATGTAGTGTACAAGAAAAAGGAATCATCTTCTGCCATGAGAAAAATAAAGCAGCAGCTCACAAAGTTTCATAAAGAAGTACTGACTTTTGGGTCTGCCAGTGAAGTTTTAGGCACCAGCAGCCTCTTCCAATGAGTAAGGGAGTGCAGGGTTTCCAAGAACTGATGCTGCCCTTCTCCTTTGCTGTCTTTAATGAATGGTCGATTAAATGTTAGCAGAATGAAGTGTTAACATCAGTTAGCAATGTGAATGGTAAACTATCAAAAATGTGTAAAAAAAACCACACAAAAAGTCTTCTGCTCTAGCACGTTTCCATATGTGCTCTCTTTGAGGGGTGAGGGTGGAAAGGAAATGGATTCGACCTTGCAGAGGAGGGGAAGCAGATGCCTTCAGGCCCAGTTCATGTTTTGAATTCCACTTAGGTTATTAAAAGTTCTTTCCTCATTCTATCGATTTTCTTACCAAGTTCTTTGCTTAAAAACAAAATCAACCAATCAAACAAACGAACCCCACGATGCTGCAGACAGGTGAGCGCTGGTAGCCCAGCCACAGAAAGGGGAGGAAGGCACTTTTAGTTTTGTAAACGACCTTTTGTTCATTTTGGCACAGCTTGTGCTTGGTGTGAGGCCACAAAAGGTAAATTTCCCAAAGTTTCTGTAGTTGTGTTTTTAAAAACACTAATCTGCAATAATACATTTTTTTCCCCTCTCAGTGAGGACCGCTGTTAATGTGATCACATACTGTGTTATTTTAAAAAGCACCCGTGCTCCTGATACATGTTTGACAGCTCTGACCTTGTATGCTGACAGGATCCCAAAGCTGTGACCTGGTAGCATTAAAGTGATTTTCTCCATTTATCTAGAGGAGAAAATGCACAGGGGGTTCTTCAGCCTTCATGGCAGCTGGGTGAGACAAACTAAAGCTGAAGGTATACTTGCATCAAACTTGAATTCTTTGTTTTCAAGAAGTCCTAGGCTAACATTCCTGTACATCAAAGAAACTGGCCTGCAGAGGAAGATAAATCAATCCAAGTGAACATTCAATGTAATTATTATTGAAAATTAGTACACCCAGTGACCCAGGTGTATGAAGGAATGGAGAGGAAAAACCTCCCCATCTTCAAGGCTCTTACTTTTGCTATCTTAAGCTACAGAAAGCAACCTGACAATCTGCACTGCTTGAAATTGTTAGGCTGGAAATCACACTCTGTGCAGTTGCTGCAGATGAGTCCGCATTTCCTTTTTAAAAATTCTGTTTAATAAAATTCTGTATATTAATCAGCTCCATATATTTTAATAGAAGGCATGTGACGAGAAAGGAATATGAGCAGCAACGCACAGGAGCTCCTGAGCAAGAGAAATGCCCTGATTCTGTTCTCATTCATTTGGAATCAAAGTTTTGTCCATTTGGGACAAAACTGAATTATGTTGCTCATCTGTTTTCTCTGCTAAGTTGGAAGGAGGATGGCAGCACCCGGCTTTCCAGTTCAGTAAGCACAAGCTTTTAAGTATGCACTATTCTGAAATGTTGACCTTAAAGACTGCTCTAATTTTTACTGAAATAATGAAGTTTGAGCAAGGCTATAATCATAAGGGAAGGAAAGATTTTTCATGTGGATCCAAACACTTTGGAAGGTTACAAGGGACAAGTATAATTTTGTGAAACCAGTGCCTCACAAACAGAATGGCAGGAATTCATAGAACCACAGAACCATAGAATGGCCCAGGTTGAAAAGGATCACAATGCTCATCTGTGCTATGTGCAGGGTCACCAACCACCAGACCAGGCTGCCCAGAGCCACATCCAGCCTTTCTTGTTCAGTTCTCAGTGTGTTTTGTGGTGAAAATAGCAAAACTCAGTGATATTAACAATGATTGCAGGCTTACTTCAGAACAGACTTTCATCTAATTGCCAAATCACTGAGGAGCTTGGCAATTCTGAGGGAAAAGAAGGCTATAGCAAAATACTGATTACACTGCAAATACTCTTTAACTCACTGGGATCCTGTTAAAGCAAAATGTATTTGGTGCTTGGCATTCCTTCCAGAGCAAAGCTTAAAGTGCAGGAATTAAGAAATGATCTCCTGCCTTGAGGACACGCACGTGAGTGACAGGCTGAATGTGAACAAACAGAGGCTATGGCCTAACTGCAAAGGTACAGCAGCAAGAGCAGCTACTCAAAGTCCCATTTAGACGTAGGAAAAAATGAAAATAATCATCTCTACTTACAGTTGTTTTCTTGAACGCTGGGTGCCCAGTTCCACAGTTTAAGGGTAAGCCTGCAGAAGTGAATGGTAGCGGTTGGCCACAGTGAATAGCAGGAGAGGATGGCTGCCAACCAAATAGGAACACTTTAATGTTGAATAAAAATAGATTGGGAAACTCAACTGCGTCTGCCCCCATAAAATGCATGAGGTGGATGCAGCCCAATAAAAGACTGGGAGTCTTAAATCAGTAGTTCAGGCTGCAGTCCTAACAAGCAGAACGCTGCCCTGTGCTGCCCTGCCTCAGCATTCGTTTGGGTGGTAAATGAATGGGAGCCCGAGCTGTTTGCTTTGGGAATTCTGTCCTAGCTGAACAGTTTGCTGTTCTGCAATCTTACCTCAGCCATCACCTTAAAGTGGAGATTTTTAGGACAGCTCAATACATGTGTGAGTCATTACTATGGAACCTTTGCCTCCTTGCAGTGGCCCACCACTGCTTCCCTTCTAGTAGACAGAAAAATGAGACAGGTGACATGTTTTCTAATCTTATGTCATAACCGAGCGACCCAAATCATCTTGTTCTGCTGGTTGCTCCCTCCAAGGACTTTCACACATGGGGCAGTGCTACAGCCCTGCTGATTATTCAGTATTACTCAGCATGTGGAGGAAAATGCTTCCTTAATATTAAAGCCCTATCTCCAAACATCAAATAACCTTTTTCCATTTCTGTTTTACATCAACACAGCTTTTAAAAACTGTCCTACTCGAGTTGCTGTTCTGTAGATCTCCAGGCATTCACAGAGGAGGTAAAAACATGTGAGATTCCCAACAGCTTCCCACAAGGCGAGTGAAATGAAGAGGCTGTGACGGTTCAGGCTGTGAGATTTTCAGAATGCTTTGTTGCAGGTACCAGAAGTTGTCCTCAGAGCAGAGCCTCTGAGGAAGTGTAGGACTGCAGGCTGATCACAGTTCCCATTTGTTACCTTGCTGAGACACCAGTAAAGCTGGGATTATATTGAAAGTTTTGACGTAATGATGCTGCCGTTCTGGAAAATTAGTATTCTCTCAGGATGGAATCTCAAGTGGGTGAGAGAGTGAACAACTGGTCAATGAAGAGCAAGCAAGAAGCACATATCAGTGCTTGGATCATTACAGGAAAAAAAAGTTTTAAGAAATCCTGGCAGCAAGACTAAGAAGTGCTCAGCTTTTCCATAACGTTCCACCTGAGCCATGCTGGCCTATTTACAGAAGTTCCACTTTTTGCTGGGAATGTAAAAAACCCCAGTCAGTCTGAAGGAACAGACAGCCAAAATACACCAGTATGGAGAGAGTCTCAAAATGAAACACTCTGTTTATATTTCCATTAGATAAACTTGTTATCTAGTGGTACAAATTCTCGCTTTATCTACAGTGTGTTTTCAAATAAAAAACGCAAGGACAAAATTGAAGCTGTCCATCCTTTCCTTCCCTTGGTGAACTCCACAAGTCATTCAGCTAGCAGAGATCTGATTGAAAACAAGGCACGGTCAGCCAAGGTTTTCTTGTGTGTAAATGACTTAAATCATCAGTGCTGAACTGCAGACATTAAGACCTATGTTAATTTGTTCATCTTCATTAGCTGCTCAAAGCTTTAGAAGTTCAAAGGCAAAAGCAATGTGAGTTGAACGCTTTACATTTTTTATTAGTTCTTCTAGCACTGGGAAAGATTTTTTTTTATGTCCCTCTGATACCAAATCAAAAATAGAACCATTACACAGTGCTTGGAACACAGATTCTAAGTTTGGCTTTGAACCATTTCCCCAGTAAACTAAAAAGTAGCACTCATTACCTACCAGAGCACAACTGCATCCTCCCGTGATCCTGCTGTGGTATCTTGGAGACCATGCAATATCCCCACTGATGTCTCCAAGGCTGCCCCCAGTAAATCCAACTCTTGCAAAAGGAGAGATCCCTGCATATTTAGGTGTCCTTCCAAAGGAATGGAAAACACCCACCAACGAAATCCCTTTACAGCTGTTGTAATGGAGCAGATCTCACACAAAAAAATAGATTGACCTCACTGCACATTCATAGTGCTTACGGGTGAACAATAAAACCCAACCAATGTGACGTGAGGTCCAAGATACCCGCTAATTCTCAGACCAGAAGGCCGATCCTTCTGCACTGACTGCATGCAGACCCTCCCGCAGCAGCAGAGGTCAGAGAGCCCTGCGCTGAACGACTCGATAAACCATTTGCAGATGGAGTCGATGCCCAGCCGGCTTCGAGACGAGCTCGTTTCTCCACTGCATTACAGAAATACGCCACCAGAGGGCGCAAGCTGTTTGAATTCGAATGGATGCCCAGACTTCTCTGCTTCCCACCATTTGCTGCAAGCCGCGAGCAAACCTTAGCAATGCACTGAAGTGGGTTTCTCTCGGTTTGTTGTTAAAGAGGGTTCAGATGTCATTCAGAATGCTGCAATGAGTAACTTCCTGTATATTTTACACTGGATCCAGGAGCTGGGCCCTCAAAACATTTTGATTTCTGCAAGTCTCAAGAGGCAAAGTTTTGGCAGCTACCCACGCATGCGTTTATCATAAATGCTACAAAGGACACTGCTTGGCAAATCGAAGTCGACACCAACAAATTGCCTACATACAAGCAGAAGAAATGGTTTTATCACACTGCGATATCTGTACATCTCGTGTACAGAATGGTTTTATTTCTTCAGTTACTTCTTTTTTCATACTCTACAGCTAAGATGGGACCGCTGGCTTCACCCTGCAGTCCTCTACCATACAGGGAGAGCACATTCAGTGAGAGCACAAAGGAGGAATGTTTTATTTGTCACTACTTAGGCATGGTTGGAAAATCCCCAACATGGACTGTTTACGCTACCAGTGTTTTTACCTTTGTCTCCAGGCAATAGACGTAAACCCTTCCTTCTTCTCCTTGGATGTGATAAAACGGAGCTCCAACAAGGAGATCTGTCACCCCATCACAGTTCACACCAGATGGGCAAAGTTCAGGGCCAAAATAAGATCCAACCTGGGCTCCAGAAAAAAAAACAAACAACCAAGCAGCTCTTTCACTGGAATTCTCTATATATAGCTTTGTAGAATTAGCTCTTTGCAACAGTAAGGCAATTTTTAGAACAAAACATCACATATCTACTTATATGTGGATCGCTTCCCTATTATTTATTACATTTCTGCCATCCTCAGGGACGGATCCTGCAGTCAGTGTAACAGTACCCAAATCGTTATTCAAAAATGTGACAGAATGAAAGGCAGAACAACGTCGCTGATGACGTCTTTTCCCATGAGCCATGAGAACATAACACAAATATAGTATGAACTCCATTTAGCTAAATGTCTTCCCAGCCTTTTTCAGATTCAATGATTTCTTCTGGTGTTCCCAAAGCATTATGGAGTAATCACTGGATAATCCACATCTAGCTAAACCAGATGCTTGGCTGCTCCCTGATTGCTACTTGTGGGCTATCTAACCAAAGAAAACATGGAGTAGTGACAGCCCATGGCCTCCAGCAGCCTGATGTGAGCAGCTGAGCTTTGATAATTTACCCAGCTGAGCAACTTCTCCCAGAAGATGAGGCCCCAACAGATCTCATTTAAAAAAGGCAGGAAATGTTCTCAGCCAGGGAAGCGCACACAAGAAGAATGAGTGCACACAAGAAGTCCAGGCTGCCTGGACACAGCCTGTTTCACAGCAATAGTAAAGCTAATTGATTTATTCAAACAATTATAACGGCTTTACTCCTGCTTCAAAGCACGTACATTTGTCTGGAGGAGAAAACGTGGCTGTTATTTGAAGGAATTAGGTGTGTGTGGCCACTTGACCTGAATGCCACTGCAGTATATAGTGGATGAGTAAATAGGTTCAAGAGAATGGGTGCTATGGAAGCATTTGTGAGATTTGAAGGCTGTGGGGATCAGATCTTCATCTTAAAACTACAGCTACAGTTCAA